CCGTTTCTGTGTGCTTGAAGAATCCGCGGTCTATCAACACCTGTGTCATCGTCTCCTGATACCGAATGGTCCTAGAATCTCACCCCTAGGGGAAAGTCGCCAGATGCGCGCGCTGCTTTCCGACGGTTCCGTTTGTCTTCTCACGTTTTCATAAAATGTTTTCATAACGTCTGAAGTTATTTTAAATACAGTTGCCACACGGAATGTACAGTGTTATTGTATCGGCTCTTCATATTCTGTTTTTGTATTTTACTTCTTTAAACAGTTTTTTGCGAAACAACCCGTGATTTCACTTATTCGGACGCTTAATAAGAATTTAATATTAACCAACGTTTTATTCGATTGAAAGTTGATCGTCGTTTTTGTCGTGCTCGGAATCAGTTGTTCCCAAGATTATAACATTTTTACTTTCACTCTTCAGACAATTAAAAGAAATTCAGAATGGATTTTCATTTTACTCGTTTTAAAGCTCGTTAAATTTCTGAAGCATGAATTTCTGGATGCACCAAAAATTATAACGCTTATTTGTTTAACATCGATCATTAGAAATTCTATAATTTAACTCCGTTGGCATTATTAGAAATTATGGCATTTATAAATATATCCGTCGATAATAAATCAACTTATTATATTCTTAGAATGTCTTTCTCTGAAATGATAAAAATTGTCTGCGAGTCAGCACGTGAAAATCGAGAATACGAGTCAATGATTGACTTACTTTGTCTTGGATACCTGTACATAATATTTATGCATGTTCGTTTTAACCCTAAAAACATATCGTGAGATTTTTGTTGCGAAACGATAAAGCAAAATTATAAAAAATTGTATACATTCAACTCAGTTCAATTTTTCAGAGAACTGTCACCCAAACACTAGCATCATTATTGAGACCCAAAAGCTTGAGAATACAATTTGAACACTCTAGAACATTTATTAGAACTCGATATCTCACTTCCAAGTATATTGAATTAATTATTAATTTCATTCTATTAACGAGACAATATCACTTTAAAAAAAAGATAGTCTAAGACATTTTGACAGCGGAGGAGCAATTTTGCTAAAAGAAAAAGTTGAAGAAACATAATTTTTTAATTTTGCTCCCTAACTGACGCTCAGATTGTGCACAAAAAATAGACAATTTTGGAAAAGAAGATAGATATTCGAGCCCTGCAGCTCGTACTTATAGTTGTTGACAATTGAGCCGTTTATTTTGAAAGTGGCCTAAGTCCATTTATTTGAAAATCCAGATATTTAAGGTTTCTACGTTTTAATAAATTAAAAAACATCGCTAATTTAAAAAATATGCTTGTGTAAAAAATATTGCTCACATTTCACGTAGAAATGTGAATATTAAAATAGCTGGCTCGGCGTTTTTGAAAAATGAGCTTAGGCCATTTTCAAAATAAAACGGCTCAATTCGTAACTATAAAAACAAGGATCGAATAATCGTACCTCCTCTTCCCAAATTGTCCATTTCTGTGGACAATCCGAGCGTCAATTAGAGAAACATTACTATACTTTGCAGCAGAGACAGGAAGACGTACTCGAAGGCGTCTAAAATAGAACCTAAATCTTCGCCAGAAGGAATCTATCTACGAGGAATACGAATCTTCTTCGTGACCCATGCACTGTGCGGTTGGCGTAGGCGACTTGAACTATTCAGAACAGACGTGGGCAACGACCTTGCCTGAAACACCTTCGGCTTGCAATTATTATCAAAGGAGGTTTAGCGTCAGCGCCTCGAGTAGGCGTGTGGTTTCGTTGCTCTCGTTTTCTACAGAGAAACGCTTCGACCCGGCAAAATCGGCGTCCACGCCTGTTCCAGAAGACAAACTGATCAACTTTACAATGATTGGACCTGCGAAGATCGTGGGCTTCAAATGTTTCCATTCAATCCTCTGGGGAATTAAAATTATCCGTTTTAATATTCTGATAAAAATTCTACAACATCTGAATAAACGCACTCCCATTATTTTCATAAAGTAACATAAAATAGTAACTTTTAGGATTCTGTAGTGTTATAGCGTTAACAAGTTTTAGCACCGTTTACAGAACGAACACTCGATTCTGTGTATAAATTGCAATCTAAAATAAAAGATCTCTAATAATTTACTATTATCGGTCACACGTATCGGAATCTGGAAAATTTTACGCAGACAGGTGTACAGCATCTCCATCGTCTCTCAAACGATTATAGCAACCCGTTCGTTGATCGATCAGTTCAGCTTTCCGGAGACTCGCTCGCAAGGGTCCAAGGAATTCCGTGGTCCCACCGAAACATTTCCGGCCGCGATTCGTTTCCGACGACGGTCTGACGAGCGTCCATTCGAGAGCAGCCTCCTTCTCGAATCTCTCGTCGGCGCTTCTTAAACGCTACCTCGAACAGACCGCGAACGCGAAGCCACGACACTTTGCTGCCATCGGGTCCTGGATCGGCAAGTTCGATCGCGGGAACAGGACGAAGCGTAATTCGAGAGGAGCGAAGGCGATTCACCGTCGAAAACTGAGTCGAGTTCGCGCGACAGGATTTTCCGTGTCGCGCCACGCCGCCTGGAAATTCGACGCCGAAAAATTCGCGACGCGCCCGACAAGATGGCGGACGCGGACGGTCAATGGAGGCTTCGATTTTGGGCTCGTTCCCTTCGAAAGCGAGGAGGTCTCATCGCGCGCGATAAAACGAATGTTTATTATATGCGAATCACGCCTCGTATTCCGCTTCGATGAACCGCGATTGAAAAACGAGTAATTACGCTAACATAAGGAAAGAAGGAAAGAAGATCGAAGGCTACCAGTAACGGTGATAAAGTTCATTGCTCGCTGTGTCGCTGAAACCTTAAGGCCGGGTTTCCTGTGCGCGTCCGACGTGTGCGTCCAACGCATTTGCACCGATGTCACAGAAAATAACGCTGTTCTTTTCTCCTGGACGCGAATGCATTGCGGTGGATTTCGTCGTTCACGTATCAAAATGTCCAAAGAATAATCGCCAAATAAGTGTTCAGATAAAATTTACTTGGTTTCCGCTCAGTCTAAAAAACTGTTTCTACAGAGGTGCGAATAATTACAGAAACAAAGTAACTTCTGCACTTTTAGTGATATCTAAAACGAAACTTAACAAACCATCACATTCGCGTACTTCTATATCAGAAGCAATAGAAAATAGAAATATAAGAATATAGATTTTGGTTTAAATGTCAGCAAAAGTGTAAACGTTACTTTCAGACTATAATTATGCGCAGCACTGTGTGTGTCTCCTCTCGCCGTAAATGTTTTTTTCTAAACTCTTTGCACTCGAAGCCGTTTTAACTGTAAATTGAAAATAACTTTTCCGACCCACAGTATTTCCATTTTATACGGCAAAGTGCGTTTTGATGCATGCCAAAAATTGTGAGTTTCGTGAATCATACAACAGTTGCGCTTCGAATAATGTTTCAAACCTAAACTTCGACGATATAAACATGATCTTAGAACGTGATATAACGATTTTAGTGGTGCCTCGGAGTCGTCGCTCGAGCGCAAAGGGTTAAAACGCTACAATAACCCTCTTCATCTCGCTTCCCGTATGTAATACACCTTTAACGTCGTTTCCGTTTCATTACGTCGAAGTTCTCAGCACAATATCATCGTCGTCATCTTCTCGCAACGGTGGCGCGAGCGCAAGTAAATTTCGATGCATTTCGAAACGTGATTTCACCTTCTCCAGACGCTGGTCGCAAGCGTCGAGCGCGTACGTTTAGTCGTTTACGTCTGGCCGCTCGCAGGAAATCCCGTCTCAACGGAAATCGTTCAGCCAGAAAAACGACGATCATCGTCCGAAAATATGTCGTACAAATC